ATATCCAGAACTATCTACTCAAGTCCCAAACTGACTCTGACACCCCTCATTCACCTTTCACTTCACTCTCTGCTATTCCTATCCCTCCATCCTCCTCCTCGTTCATTTCAGATATGCAATGTTTCACAACTATAGTCCCAAGAGCTGCCTATACAGCTATTCCTCGAACCTCAAGACCCTATACCTCCAAATGTGTTCCATGGTGGAATTCTGATTGCACTCCTTTAAAAGAGCATCCACCTGTCTTCGTCATACAATCCAGAGAGAGTAAAACAAATAGCTGGTGAAATTATGTTTCCTCAATTACATCCTCTACATCTATCTCAACTGTTTGGCACCGGATCCATACACTATCAGGCAAACATCCCCCCATCCAGCCCCAGTCCTCCATATTCGAGATACTCTCATCTCTGATCCTCTCCAAGTCGCTAATGATCTGGATCACTATTTCAGCCAGGCCAGTAGTGGTTCTCACCTTTCTTCACGCTTCTCTTCTATTAAGACCATCAGAGAACGTACCCCCACTAACTTCACCCCATCCTCCGCTGAGTCCTATAATGCTCTTTTTTCTTCCTCTGAACTCAGTGTTGCCTTACAGTCGTGCCACAACACTCATGAAGGCCCTGCCGGTATTCACTATCGTATGCCCCGAAACCTTCCATCCTCCTCTCTATCCTTCCTATTAACAATTATTAACCACATATGGACGTCAGGAAATTTTCCTTCTCATTGGCGAGAAGCTCTTATCCTCCCCTTCCTGATTCCCAATAAATTGGGTACCCTGAATGTGGTATCTTGAATCTCACAATCTTATCTCTCCGTCGTGCCCGAAGCACAGCTGACTCCCTTGCTCATTTTGAGACATATATTACATCGTCATTTGCATGCAATGAATCTGTATTAGCCATATTCTTTGACCTAGAGAAAGCATATGATACCACATGGCAGTACCATATTCTTCAATAATTGTACTCTCGAGGTATATACGGCAACATGGGTATCTTTATAAAGTCTTTCCTCTCCCAATGCACTTTTCAGGTCAAAATTGCCTCTTCCACATCATCCTTCTTTCCTCAATTTGAAGGCGTCCCACAAGGCAGTGTGCTCAGTACCACTTTATTCCTTCTTGCTGTTAATGACATTGTGTCATCTCTAC